GTATGTAAGTATAATTGTTAAGTATAGAAGCTACCAACGTACATACATACATACATATACATATATATTAAAAAATTGCTAATATCATTTGGATGCATTGGCTAGGACAATGCTGATGTTTAGCGTTTTCGTTTTTGTATCCCTTTGCGGAACTGGAAATGTTATTTATTTGAGACAAAAACTTGTGCACTTCCGCTTCCTATGTCAACTTGAAGGGATGAACGGCAAGTATGTAGCATACATATGAGTAATAAAAAAGCTTTCTATATTTCCATTTATGCATCAAAGAATTGTACTTACCACCAAACACCCGCGAAAATATGCACTAGCGTGAATAAACTATTTAGTTGACGAAATTCAGATACTGAAAATTACAATCAAACGCGCAACTTTTATCAGACGCGAAGAAAAAAGAGGTTATGTCCGGTATTTTTCTACTGCGAATTTTTTGATATTACAAAAGCGCCACCTCGAAATATTTCAGGCTAAATTCATACCTTAATATCAATTTAACACATTTTATCACTTTTTATTGAACAATTTTCACCTTAAATCACACTTTTTGCACCAAATAAATTAATTGAGCGCGCACTTGAAGCGAACAGAAAATTTGTAAACGGTACTTTTATGCAAATGTGTACAGGGTGCCTACGATTTTCTAATAATGAAGGCTATCAAACGTGCTAAATCTTTTGTTTCTATTTATTCAATAAATTATACAACGGAAACGAATTACACAGGGTTTTTGCTGGAGAACTGGCTATCAATGAGAGGATTTAAGATATTTCTGTGCCAATTATTTGCAGTAAACTTTAAAGATTTTTCAATTTTTTTATTATAATGCACCCTGCGCCACAAACAGATGGCAACGCTTCAGCCGGCTGATTTGTTTTGACACCCACAGGAAAACATCTGATTTTTGCAGCGAGGTGCTTTAACTCCAAAATTGTTAATTTTCCAATTTTATAAATAAATGAATGCAGATAAAAGTGCAATAAATCCTTCGAATAAAAAAATGGAAGACCCTTTGCGGCCGAAAGCGGTGCCACTTGCCGCTGAAACGGTGCTTTGGTTTGAATTTCTGCTCGACCCACATTTAATTACCAAACATTTGCAGAAACCTAATCCAGGTAAGTGCGAATGGCAAATATCCAAAAGACACACTTAACATTAAAGCAAATACCATTCTTTAGATCCCAGCCCTTTGGAGCTAATGTCTCAATTCATATCTGTTACACCGGATGTTATAATGCCGCCGCAGTATGATCTGACTTCGCCAGAGGCTGAAAATGTACCAGGCGGTATACCAGTGACACCGGGCGCAGGCGTAACTGGTACTGTCATAATGAGCAACATAGATGGACTGCGTATACCGCGAAAGCAAATTGCTTTAAAAATATTAACGCTAAAAGTGGCGACATGGTTGAAATGGAACTTGGGTAAGTGGAGAATTCATATATAAAAAAACATTGAAGAAATCTATTGTGTATATATCCCAGATGTCCTGGAAAAGAGTCTTCCCATTCCAAAGCAGCTCTTTCTGTTGCGCGATTTATGTACAGTATGTTTTGGCAAATTGGTACCAATACCTTTACAGCAGGATTTTCAGCAAAAAGTTTGTAAGTAGATATATCTATGTAGAAATTTTATTTAACATCATACTAGAACACGCTTGGAAATATTGTGTTTTGCAGCGCCTGATGGCCATGAGCATGCAGCCCGTTTTGCATTAACCTTTTATCATCGATGGGTGCTACGCTTGCAAATACTGAAAGATATTGCCATGAAAGCTGCACGACCGTCCATGGCTAATATGTGAGTGAACAAATTTTCTTAATGATTTTTTTTTTTTTAATATATGTATATTAATTTGTTTTTTATTTGAAAAATATCTTAGGTTCGTACCAATGGAGCCCATGCATCAATTCTTTGCTCCCGAAATACCACCACAAAATAGCGTTGAATATCTACAGGAGCTATGTAAATCAACAGAACCTTTTTATGTCTTCACCTATGACACATTTGTAACACTTCACGCCGATAACGAAACAATGCGTCAAAATTTCGAACAAATGCAAAAAATATCCCTTGCAGAGTTGCGTGCACAAATCTATTTCGATTTAGTTAACTTTTACTTGTATACCAAACAATATGTCCTGGCGCGAGAAGCTGTTAATGAATGCCGACGTAATTTAAGAGAAATGAAGGCAGACTACCGAGCTGAATCGACTAATCACACTGCATCTGGCTATCTATTTTGCCACGTTAACGACGATGAACTGGAGGGTTATCTCCTGGCTTGTGGTTGCAGTGAACAGCGTACGACTTTGACGGAGCGATTTAATGCATCGTCATTAAAGCAGTATAAGGTGAGTTCTTTTAACATACGTATGCCAATTAAAACATTATATTTAAAATTAAATACTTACAACCCCAAATTAAGGACATTATTGAAATATTACAAGAGGATAATCATGTGCGTGAAATCCCGCTTGTAAATCGGCGTATACTCGAGCTTGATATTGAGGGCGTCATTTCGCAGGGTACGCTGAAGGAACCCCGCACGTTAGAAATGCAAGTAGCCGCGCTGAATGTGGTGCGCAGTATTTTTGAGGAGGGAAACATTTTTGCCAGCGTTGATTACTTTGAAAAATACAGACATATGAATTGCTTTGTCGCAATAATAGATGTGAGTTAATGTGTAATCGCTGGTTTAGTTTTCAATTAATAAATTCATTAATGTCATTTAGGCCATCAGTAATGTGTTGCCGCATTGTACACTTAGCGAACGCAATATCGTCAAACATTTTCTTATAGACTGCATTTTGAAGCAAAATAATGGAAAACAGTTTCTACAAAATGTACAATACATACAATTCTTCACACCCGCTGAATTGCGAGATTTGGAGCGACAAACTGCAGAAGAGGAAATGATTGTGCCAACACTAGCAACGTTGGGTGAATGGAAGTTCAGTTCGAAGAGTATGTAATGCACCTGCGTGCCGCGCAAAACGACTTTTTTTTAGAAAATGTATTATACATCATTTATTTTCCAGTTATGCGCATTGAGGTTGGCTCACTTGAACGTCAACTTATCTCCTGCACAAATGCAAATACGGTCCGCAAACTGCTGGTAAAATTGGCGGCCACCAATCCAACTAAACCTTTATGGACCGTCAATCCAAGCTGGGAGATAGCAACGCCAATAAAGTCACTGCTTATGTCTATGCAACGCGGCTTTCTGCAAGATTTTGCTTATGTTTTGTTGGGAAAAGCCCGTGAAATGACGGCGAAGAGTGTAAGCTCATTTTTATTTGTGTTGTCTAATATGTGAACAAATTCACTTTTATGATTTTAGGACTATATTGGCGCCGTGTCAATGCTAAGCGTGCTTAAATCGGAAACACAGCGACAAGAGCTTTCAAACACCACCATCGTTTCGAAACTCGGCAAACTGGTAAATTGGGAAATTTTGCTTATCCAAATCACACAGTGTTTAGAGGAATGGAACCGCAAAACTTTAGATCTGCAGTCACTAGGCAATCGCTGCAAGCAATGTTTAGCGTCGTTACAAACAAATGACAATATTATACCGCGCATTGAGGTAAGTATAGTTTGGAGTTTAAACCCAATAGTAGGGTAATTAAGACATATTTGTTAAAAAAAATATACATTTCCATAGATCATCGAAAGTTGCGCCATAATGCTACTTAATCTAGGCGATTGGAATGCGCTCATGTTCTTGGATAAGCGCCTGCCGCAGCTCGAATTACCCATCGCCTTTGCAGCCACTGTACTTGATATGGAGAAAATGAAGGGTTCTAAAAAGGTTACGCGAGATGCCTTCGATTTGGTATTGCAAATGTTTGTGAATACTACGAAGCGTAGCGGTGGTCCTGGTGGTAGTGGTGGTGGTGGTAGTGGTGGCAGTTCACGGAATTCTCCCTCACTAGTTGTTTCCACTGGCCTTCAGCCGTTTCTGAAACGCATACGCCATCAACTGGTTTTCTCCTTGGCCATATCTTGCCTTGGAAAAATACAAAACATACTCAGAGATGATACAAATCACGATCTCAGTGGTGAATATATGCATTTGTGGCCAGCTGGTATACCAAGGTATGTGTGAGCTAAATGTTGTACCAAATGCATGTATGTATGTATATAATCAAAGAAAATTTTTGTTTACAGCCCAATGGCCTATAGCGTGCGTATAGTTTGCGAAACATTGCATTGGTTGCTGACAGAAGCGCTTAAATACTATCCACAAACTATTACATGGCTGAAAATGAAAGGGGATCTGGAATTAGGTGAGTTACAGTTTTTTCCGATTTATACTTGAATTGTAAATTAACTCTTTGTCATTAGCAATTGGCAATAATGAAGCTGCTATGCGTTGTTATGTCAATGCGCTCATCACCGGCACTGATTACTGCACTTTCCCGCTGCAACGTAATGTAGCTGATGACTATGTAATTCACAAAATGATACGTTGCTCCTCAAACCTGGGCTGTCATATGCAAGCCACCGTTCTGTGTCAGGTATTAAAGTGCAGCAGCGCAGTTTTAAAATAATATGTTTTTTACAATTTTTACAGTTTTTAGAAGAAATCGACTATGGTATCGTGTTTAAGAAACTCACTGAGAAATCTTCTAACTTCACCGATGCAATGGACGCATACTATAACTGCATTTGGGATACAACATTGCTGGAATTCATAATTAATTTGCACGCAAGAAAGGGAGAGCATAGCAGAAAATTAGAAGCGGTCGGTTTAACAATACAATTAAACATTTCTTAAACAATCATATTCTAATTCCATTTTGATTGCAGATCGCAATTATGGGCTCTTTGGAATTGAATGCGAATAATAACGATGAAATCAAGCGTGAAGCAGCAGCTATACGAAAAACAAGATTTCTGCGCGCATTAGCGAAGCAGTATTTGTTGTAGATGAAATGCGTATTACAGTTATCCGAACCTTTTATATAATTTATTTTTAATTCGATTATGCGCAATCATATTATAAAATTGAACAGATCTTAGTTATGTATATAGCAGTACTTATGTGTAGTTGTAAGCTATTTTCTATGATTATGCGAAGTATCTAGACTTAAACTTAATTGTAAAGTATTATAGTATTCTCCCAACAGACAAAATAAAATTTTTTAAACCATTGAGCAATGTGTTCTGATTCAAAAACTAAGTATTTTTGCAACGATTAACAACAAAAAAGAATGGAGACTTGCGTCAAACAAATAAAACAAAATTGAACAGAAATATATCTGATCATAGGATTTTATCAAAGATGCGGCTGCGACGATAGTTTCTCAAAAAAAATTTAGTCCAATGCCCTTAAATACTAAACATGTTCGTCGAGTCGATGAATTAATTTCTCGAATGAAACTTCATTACTTGGGGCGTCTGCCACGTCCACCGCCGCCAGCTTTAACCTTCTTATTGGCAGCCTTTTTATCATCTTCGGCCTTTCGCTTAGGTGTGGGCTTATTGTTACTTGTAGACGGTAGTGCCTAAATATATATATATATTTTTTTAATACATACATACATTTAGCTACAATTTATTACCTTAAAAAAGTTGTCTAGTCGTCCTTGTGTCTGAGTATTTTTAGATTTTTGTATTTTCTTGGCGCCAGAACGTACCCGATCTTCATTGAATTGCCGATCGCCACATAGAAACTTTACCAAACCTTCTTCATCGGGTTCAGTCCACTTAAGCTATAAATGCGAAACAAATATTTATGTAAAATAATTTCTCCAAGAATATACACATATTTACATGTGCATCTTTACTAACCTCAATAGTCGACGGATCCGTTACATCGGGTTTTACGAACAATTCACGCGCAACTTGATAGTTCCAATCTTCCGCTACTGTGTACTTCTTTTGGTCAATGTTCTTGAGTATTGTCTCAATATCGCGATAAGTATTTATCAACTCAATGGCGCGCTTCGGTCCAATACCTTTGATACCTTCACAGTAATCACAGCCCAGCAGTATGCAAAGATCTATAAACTGCAAAAAAAGGTTTATAATACTGCTCATACATTCGAGGGCCTTCAAGTACTCACCTCACTGCTTGTCAATTCGAATCCTTGAAGCACTTTTTCATAGATAAACTCTTTTACCGGCATCTTCCGCGCCTCACTGAATGTCAAATGACGCAGGAGTACACTGGAACCAAAAGTAAGTGCATCCATATCCTCTGTAGCTGTAGCATAAACTTTGCCTGCTTTCACCAACGCCGCACATTGCGCTTCCGCTTCACATGGTGCCTCTACATAAGGTACTCCCATCAATTTAAGCAATTCCTGCGCTTCACGCGCATGCTCTTTGGTTACTCGCACTAACCGGCGATTGAATTTTTCCACTTCCTCAGCATTGCCCGCTTCTTCGGCCTTTTCCAAAGCCTTTTGTGCTTCTTCCCGGCGTTCTGCACGTTTCGCTAATTCACCCGATTTTAAATCTGGTGGCTTACCATCGAACACATACACGGGCTTTATACCATGCTCCAGCATGCGTATGGTTCTATAGAACATACCCATCAGATGCGATGTAGGTTCGCCATCGACAGTTGTCAATTGTGCGCCATCAGAGCGTACGGCGATCAGAAATTGATACAGGCACATCGATGCATCAATAGCCACTTTGCGTCCTTTGGAGGGAATCGTACTAAGTATATGAACGTATTCTTTTTTTTTGCGAAAAAACTCACCGAAATAGTTTTTAATTTCATTCTCTTTAATAGCAGATGGTGCAATATCTGCAATTAACTTGGCTAAGCCCAAAATTCCCATGATATTCTGCTTTAAATTGCAGTCAGGACCAACAGGACAAAATGTGCCAAGTAGGAGAAGCAGATGGATGTTGGCGCGCGGTTATTTACCAATGGCGCAACGATAAACCATGATCGCAAATGTTATCGAAATATTGTTATTACAATCGAAGGAATGTATTAGCGTGACAGTAAATTTGAAAAGAAATTTGATAACTTTTGGATTTATTACGAGTTTTCTTCCTTCCTAATCAAGGGCATACACGTTAGGAAATCAAATTAGAATTTCTAACATATATTTGGTTTCCTTTCAGCGTCAAAAAAATAACTTATAGATTTACGATCTTTACTTTACGCCAAATAGTACTATTTTACCTAGTACCAAAAAAATCATTTATGTGCTGAGAAAAAGAAGAAGCATAAAGTAAAGAGGAACTAGTGAAATAGTTGAGTGTATTTTCCATAAGTGAATTTCGTGCCAGGAAAACGGCGAGAAAAACTTTTTCGGGAAAAAAATATAGTAAATATGGTATGTAAATTAAAAAAAAGTACTTCAAATTGTTAACTAGTGTTGAAAGTTTTCAATTTCAATGAAATTCGGTGCGAATTGAATGTGTTTAACGTGAATAAGTGAGTGGAAAAAATTTGAAGCGCGTCACATTCGGTGAATTTTTCGCTTTCATCGTTTCGTCTTCTTTTTTTATTGGTCGTCGTTTTGCTGTTTCGTTGCGCCGCGCTGCATCGTGTATTTGCTACGCCGTGGTGGTGTATAAACATGGCGTCGGTTCATTTTCACGTACTTCACATTTCGTATGAGCTTTCCTCGCTTGCCGCCTTTTGTGTAGTCTTTTCTTCAGCGCACGAGCGAATTCATCTAGTTGAAAATTTCGCGTTTTCATTTTCGCCTTGATTCGTTGTTCAAGCGGCAAACATTCATCTATTTTATATTCATTCGATTCGGTGTTGCCGTGGCTCACCAGAGCCAATATAAAGACGAACACGGGAGAAAAACAAAGGCGAAAAAATTTCTTCTATTTCCTATGCGCGGAGGATATTGTTGTAAAAGTTGTAGTTTTAGATAACTTTGTAATGGGTGGCTTGAGGGTATGAACTGTTTGCTGAGGCAACAGTTGAACCTATTTTCATTTGCTCGGCAAGTGGTTTGGAAATATATAAATAGGTATCTTTGTACATACACGTGTTGCAAAACATACATACCATGCACGTACATACATATATCCCTGGGGAGAAAACTCTAGAAGGTTAAAATTTATTTACTTTATTTTAAAAGCGTACACTTGTTCTTTAATTTCGCTAGACTTTTTATGATTTGGATTAAAGTGCAGAAAACCTACGTAAATGTCCTTACACTCGATAGCAGGTTTCATGCATCAAATCAACATATGCCGTCTAGTTAATTGGATACACAGTACATATGTATGTACATGTGGGCATGGTCAGAGCCAATGTAGGAGGCACTCTGTGGTTTTAATACCACGCGAAGCTCCAATTTACTATCTACACCATTCCTAAAACTATTTGGTGAGCGATATCAATTTTTAATTTTTTTTTGTTTTTTTCTTTTTTTTTTCTGAATATTTGCTTTTTGGACTAATCCTATTGCCAATAAAATAACTGACGAGAACCTTTTGCTTCCGTCGAGATGCGACGAGTAGTTTGTGCGGTTAATTTCTTTAGAAGTCTAGTTAATTCTTTTCCATTGAGAGTTCAGACTCACTACGGATGATCCAATGCATAGGCGGCCAGAAGGTCAAAAAATTGTATAAACAATTGTTTAAACACTTGGGACCAACAGAATCATACCCCTATTCGGAAATGCAGCAAAGCAACAACATCCGTCTCTTATATCTAAACTATAATTGCTGGAAAAGCCCAATTAGCGAAACGTAAGTTCCGATTCGATATTATAGTTTAGAAATAAGAGACTGATGGTTGTAGCGGCTATTCCCGCACGGGTCGGCTAGTTCGTCAACGTTGTTGTTGTTGTAGCGGCTACTAAACCCCGCTCGAGTCGGCTCATCCATCTGCGTTGTCATCTGTTTCAGCTAAGATAAGGCACAGGAAGTGTGCAACTTCAACAGTGGTTGTTCATAGAGGCAGGGGCGTTAGCTGGGAGGGGTCTTGGGGGAATGTAAAGAGGTGCCGTGAGTCATGTGAAGACTCCCCTTGCCGGGCACTCATTTCAACATCTGCATTGACTCAATTCAGGTACCTATGTGTTTAGGCTGCAGCAGCAGTCAGAGCAAAGTTGGTCTATTGTGATGAGGGTAGTTGTCTGCCCAACACGCCAGTGTTTTTCTGCATTTCCGAATAGCACCCATATCACCGCCGGTCGCCATGTACTAATAGTTCCAGGTATAATACATATGTATGTGGCCTACAATCAGTATTTTTCGTTTCATCACAATGACGTTCAAGGAAACAAATTCATCTATATGTATACATATTTTAGAACATAGTAAGTTCTGGAAGCTGCTTTCATAGTTAACCTCTATTTTTGGGAGCCACACGAATTACAACTTAACTAAAAAAACTTCAAAACATTTACCAATTAGATATGTAGTTTATTTTACAGTTGTATTTATATTTTAATAAAATATTTAACTAATCATATATTTGATGATCTTATGCTTAAAGGAAAGCGAGAACAAAACAGAGGAGACAAAAGCCGGAGGCGAAGCTGAGGCATCAGCGACGACAACGGCAGATAAAACGTCTGAAAACGATAAGAAAGAGGTAGCCGCTAGTGGTAAAGAAATAGAAGAAACAGCACCAGCGGCAGAGAAGGAAAACAGTGCTGGGGCTGGTGACGAAGCCAATGATAAGAATGCGGATAAGGCGCCTACAGCGGCAGAGAATGACGATAAGAAACCTAAATCAGAGTCTGATGCAGGTAAGCAGGGCAATATGGATTTTTAAGAATGGGCGAAAGGTTTCTTAATGATCATATCTAGCTACATTTATAAATGTACATACATACATACATGTAGATTTATGCTACGCGGCGAACATTCATTTCTCTTCAGTACTGTTGATAAGCTGTAAAACAAACGCGGCTAATGCGAACGTATAAAGCATGAAAACCAAAAAATGAATAATGGATGAACTTTGTAATTCAGCGAGTTGTTGCTCTTTTGCGTTTGTGTTTTGCTACGTATTCGGTTCGGTCGACAGACCTCCGGTGTTCGCTGGCAGCAAAATGTATTTGTATGTATGTATGTACATATATGTAGAACGAAGACGTGAAAGCAAGGAAGGGTGTTTTAGCCGGCTACATTGCTGACGTTGCGTGGCGCATCGTGTTAGCGTGTCGCATTTACTGTATGAATTGGCGCGCTTTCTCGGTCACGGTTCGAATCCCGATGAAGGCAACTTTTGTGTTTGTTTGTTGTTTATTGAATGCAAGTGTTTGGGTTAAGGAAGTTAAAGGAAAATTTAATTTATGTATGTGCTTTTCTTCCTTGCTTTGCGCTTTCTAAATAAGCTAGATTCTGTGTTGAGAGCGTCAAAGTATGCAGTTCGTTAAATATATATATAAAATCTATTAACTTCTCAGAAACATTCTATCTACCCTTGGATTTGTTCATACGAAACCCTGACAAATATGGTTTTGTGTAGTAATGTCCAAGGTACAATAAATATTCACTATTTCATAGTTTATCTCGTCACGTTATATGTGACTGTTAAACTTCCCAAGGGTGAATACAATGCTTTTTTCCTAAATAAAAAAAATAGATAATTAAAAAATAAAATCATGTATCTAATTAACAAAAACAAACAAACAAAATATTAAAATCATTAGCAGCCAGTTTCACGATTTTTTTGTTTAATGTATTATGAAAACTGAAAAAGGGAAATAATTTTTCACTTAAATTGCTTATGAAACCGGAAGGTTAATTAATTAAATTAAAAATAATAATAAAATAAAGGAAAATACATATTTTTGTACATAAAAAATATTAAAAATGAGAAAAATGTAAT